TGCCAGTATCCTGACGTTAGCTGAGCAGCACCACTGCCATGGCCTTAAGGAGGCCTGCTTCAGCTTCCTGAGCTCGCCATCCACTCTGAGTGCTGTTATTGCCACTGACGGCTTTGATCTTTTAACTAGAAGGAAGCTGCCCCTTTGTTTTGAAAGAGCTGATGATGGCAAATCTTGCTGCTCAGCATGTGCCCGCTGATTTCAAAGAAGCAAAATAAGGCGACAACAGGTTTCCATCAGCTGGAATGTTCTGGTTTTTTTAGGTGTATAGTTTTATTTATGCGCCTAGATATGATATATACGTCTAGACTTATAATTTTGATTGATATATACTATGTCTAAACTTATAATTTTGAATGGAAGAAGTATATCAATTAACGTTAGTAGTCTTGTCCAGCATTCTTTTATAATGCCATTTATCATATTATTCTCGCAAGTGTTTTATTGTGGAGAGATATCTTTTAACTCTGCTGGGAACAAGTATACATGGCATAGTTTACAACTCTTGAAAAAAACGTACAAAATTTACATGCAACAAAGATAAACTTTGGGTGTGTTTGGTACACCTTCTCTACGCGCTACTGGAGCTGATGTTTCAGTGCTTCACCAAACAAACGCGACCCCAGAAAACTACTCCGCGCGAGGAGTTCTAAAAATGCCATTGACTAGAGCCGCTTCACATGAGGCCCCCGGCTCTCTCCCCCTCCCGTGGGCTCGGCACGCAGCCATGGTCCCGTTTGCCCCAGGGGCGAGGCCGTGCGGAGAGAAGCCTCCGGTTCGGTGCAGGTGGTGCCACTGCGAGGCGGGGCGTAGTGGAGCTGACGCATCCGAGGGAGGAGGCGGAGGCTAGCATCGAGGCGTTGGCCCTCACAGCCTCGGTCTCCTATGTGTTATAAACCATGGACAATATAAACAACGAAGAATAGTAGATCAAGCACAGAGGATACGAGATTTTAACGTAGAAAACCCTCTCAATGTGGAAGAAAAAAAACCATGGATACCAGTCAGTAAATCTTCGCTGTATCGGATGAAATTACAAACGCCGGAGATTTACAATTTGGGATACCCTAACCTGGGAGTCTTCCCGTATAGAAGCCTATGATACATTTTTTCTATGAGGGAGGTGATCCGTATATATAGGGAGGAAACACTCCACACCCTCGTCTATTAGCAATACGAAACTAATAGATGGTGTAGTCCCTCTTAACGCTAATGGGCCGCTTCGCTTCGGCCCAAGCTTGAATTTAGATCAAAACTCAACAAACTCCACCTTGAGACAAATTCCTTCTTGTAGCATAAAACGAGCATTCACCCTGAAACAACAAAGAAATACTTCCGGTGCCAAATAGCCTCTTGGGCTAAACAGTTATACCAACTAAGCTTGAGCAAAGCTTAAACTTAGCAACCAGAACAGGCTTTGTCAACATATCAGCAGGATTATCATGTGTGCTTATCTTACATACCTTCAGCTTACCTTGCGCTACCACATCACGAACATAATAGTATTTGACATCAATGTGCCTCATTCTCTCATGGAACATCTGATCTTTAGTTAGACATATAGCACTTTGACTGTCACAAAATAAATTATTGCAAGAATCATCTCTACAAAACTCAGCAAACAAACCTTTCAACCAAACTGATTCTTTATATGCTTTAGCAATAGCCATGTATTCTGCTTCAGTGGTAGACAGGGCAACAGCGGGCTGCAATGTTGCCCTCCAACTCACAGCACAACCACCAATAGTGAACATATAACCTGTGAGAGATCTCCTCTTATCCAAATCAGCAGCAAAATCTGAATCCACATAGCCAGTGAGTCCCTTATCAGTCCTGCCAAACTTCAAACAGGCATTTGTTGTGCCACGAAGGTACCTGGAAATCCACTGAACAGCCTTCCAATATTCTTTACCAGGATTAGCCATGTATCTACTAACCAAACTCATAGCATATGATAAATCAGGACGAGAACAAACCATGGCATACATCAAAGAACCAACAACACTAGAATATAGAACTCTTGACATGTACTCAAAATCCTCATCCGTATTAGCATATTGTAAATCTGATAATTTGAAATAAGGAGCAATAGGAGTACTAACAGAATTTGCATCATGCATGTTGAAACGATGAAGAACTTTCTTAATGTAACTTTGCTGACTAAGAAATAACAAATCAGAATTTCTATCTCTTGTAATTTCCATACCTAGAATCTTCTTAGCAGCACCAAAATCCTTCATCTCAAATTCACTACTCAACAATTTCTTCAACGTAGTGATTTTTTTCTTGCTCTTGGCAGCAATCAACATATCATCAACATATAACAATAAATATATAGGTGATCCATCAACAAATTTAATGTACACACAGCTATCAAATTCAGACCTCTTAAAACCATATGACATCATAAAGGAATCAAACCTTTTATACCATTGACGAGGAGACTGTTTCAAACCATATAAGAATCTCTTTAATTTGCAAACATGATCCTCCTTACCAGGTACTATGAACCCTTCTGGCTGGTCCATATATATCTCCTCCTCGAGCTCTCCATGTAAAAACACAGTCTTTACATCTAACTGCTCAAGCTCAAGATCTCGCATAGCAACAATACCAAAAAATGTACGAATTGAACTATGCTTTACAACTGGAGAGAACACATCATTATAATCAACGCCAGGAATCTGACTGAAACCTTTTGCTACTAACCTTGCCTTAAATCTTGGAGGCCTGAGCAGAAAACCTACAACAACAACAATAATTGAGACAAGAGCTGCGGGGTTTTTCGGTATGTCCAAGCTAGAAGGAGTGTGGGGTTTTTCCTTCCTATATATACGGACCACCTCACTCATGAAAAAGATGTATCATAGACTTCTATACGGGAAGGCCCCCAGGTTAGGGTATCCCCAAGTTGTAAATCTCCGGTATTTGTAACCTCACCTGATATAGTGAAGATTTGCTGGCTGGTGCCCGTGGTTTTTTCCCTTTCACATTGGAAGGGTTTTCCACGTTAAAATCTCGTGTCCCCTATGCTTGATCTACTGTTCTTCGTTGTTTATATTGTCCGTTTATAACACTCTGGCCATCATTACTCAAGCTCTAGGCCTCTAGCCAGGTAGAGAAAATTTAGAATTTAATGCTCTTTAAAAGTGGGCTTCGCTGAAATGGACTATTTAGGGTGGGCTTTGCTGGAAAGAGATCCTCAAATAAGACAAGACTGCTAGAAAGGATTTTGAGGATTTTACAATTTTATTTAGCTAAACCGAGTCAATGGGAGCACGTGAGATTACTCCTTTGCTCCTGGCCAACTCCTATCAGGTTTGGAACGCCGTTTTCTTCCCGTCTCTCTTCGATCCGTATGGCGAAGACTCACACGATGTGAGACAGGGAGGAGCAGACAGGTGCCGCCGCATCGACGACCCAGCTCCAATGGCATCGATAGTCGCACCCTCCGTGAACCCACCCTAGCTACCAGCTCCCCTCTTCCTGCGTAGAAGTAATCTCATGTGCCCATTGACTCATATTACCTAAGTAAAACTCTCTAGTCCTCAAAATCCTTTATAGCAGTTTGGTCTCATTTGAGGATCCCTTTCCAGCAAAGGCCAATCTAAAGAGTCCATTTCAGCGAAGCCCACTTTTGAGGAGTATCAAATTCCAATTTTCTCTGCCAGTCATGCATGCTCTTGAGTCTTGAGATATAAGGGGGAGAGAGAAGAAAGGTACCATGGAGATAAGATGGAGAGAGTAAGTAGAGAGCAAAAAAGAAAACAAAAAAGAAGAAAAAATGAAAAAAGAAAGAAAAGGAAAAAAAAAGGGCAGCATAGATATTTCATATTTTTATAATCAGGAGAAATAATTTTACTAAATATTTCTCTGTCGAGATAAACTGAAGTTAAGAAGAGCTGCGTGGTAGCAAACATGTCCCTTTGTCGTTGTTGAATGCTCACGCAGAACATGGACGGGCGTCATCTCTTCTTCTTCGAATGCATTTTTTTATACTTCTTCGAATGCATAAAGTAAACGCTAAATGTTAAACAGGGAGCCGCTCTTTGTTTAGCGTTTAAACGGTTTAGACGGTATTTAAACGGAATAAAATAGTCTAAATGGTTTTACACAATATTAACAAAATATGCATATTTTTTGTTGTCAATTATTCTTGCATTTATACATATTTATCCAAGTAAAAATCAAATGTTTTAGTATGTATATATATTTATGCATGTGAAAAGAATCAAACATACATATCTATGCATGTAACAAATCAAGTGTACATATTTATGAATATAATAAACTTAAGTACATAAATTTGTACGTATAAAACTCAACTCAATTTACCTCGTGTTCGCCTAAACAGACATTTAAATAGCTGTTTAGTCCGTTTAATACCATTTATCTCCGCTCCGTTTAGGCCATTTAGACCGTTTTTTTTTCGTTTTTTTGACCATTTAAACGGTAAATCGTTAAATTTTCATTTACTCCCTGAACAAAATAATTTATCACTGTTTGCCATTTTAGCGGCCGTTTAATGGGCCGTTTAGGCCGTTTTAGGTGAACACTTTGTACTAGGCTACTAGCCGATTTTTTTTTTTTTTTTTTTTTGAGGAACGGCTAGCCTACTAGGAACCTACGTGTGGTAGCTTCCAAAATTGGCTATTTGCCAACAAGTACGGGGTGGGAGGCAGAGCAGGCCATTTGTGTCAACGGAAAAGGGCCAACTGCTGGCAGCCGCGGCCTGGCCCGGCCCATCTGCCGCCGCACCATCATGCATCAAATCTTGTTGTAGTCTTGTAGAATTGTTTTCCTCAAAAAAAAAAAAAAAAAAAGGTGTCCCTAAATTGTCAACATTATCGACGTTGAGTCCCATCTCCCCACTTGTCAACAGTCACGAAAACCCTCCGCTCCATCCCCTCCGCTTTCGCCGCCAATACAATCTCCAAACCCTCGTCTGCAAAACCCTCGCCGCCGCCTTCCGGGTGCGACACGCCGACGAAGGCGACTCTATGGCCTCGCGCTCCGCCATCATAGGTGGCAGTGGCACAGCGGCCGGCCACCACCTGCTCGACATCGAGGGATACTCGCACACCAAGGAGACCCCCACCGGCACGTTCATCAGGTCCAACCCTTTCCGCGCGGTGGATCACTCGTGGAGCATCCTGTACTACCCCAATGGCCAAGACTCCGACAGCAGCGAGTACATATCTGTCTTCCTCCGTCTCGACGACGAGCACGTCACCGTGCCCGTGAAGGCGCGAGCCACGTTCAGCCTGCTGGACCGGGCAGGGAAACCTGTGCTGTCGCACACCCGGAACACAGGTGTGCACCACTTCTCGGGCAATAATGCCTGCGGCTATCCTCGATTCATCAGGAGGGCATACCTGGAGAAGTCGGAGCATCTCGAGCACGACCGGTTCACCGTCAGGTGCGACGTCTTGGTTGCCAAGGAGTTCCGCACGGAGAGGAAACTGCCGGCGTCGTCATCTCCCCCGTTGGTTAGGTCGCCGGTGAGACGTTCATGGCACACAGGTGTGTTCTTGCAACCCGGTCGCCCGTCTTCAAGGCAGAGGTCTTTGGCAGGATGAAAGAGGGCACGGACGGGGCGGTCATACGCGTCGATGACATTGACACACAGGTGTTCAAGACTTTGCTAGATTTTGTGTACGCCGACATGTTGCCAGATTGCTCGAAGAATGTGACGAAGGACAAAGAAGGTGCTGCGATGGCTCAGCACTTGCTTATCGCAGCCGATAGATACAACCTGGAGAGGCTGAAGCTCATCTGTGAAGACAAGCTCTGCGACCACATTGACACAGACTCCGCTGCCACCATCTTGACATTAGCTGAGCAGCACCAATGCCATGGCCTTAAGGAGGCCTGCTTCAGGTTCCTGAGCACCCCGTCCACTCTGAATGCTGTGATGGAAAAGGATGACTTTGATCATTTAACTAGAAGCTGCCCCTCAGTTTTGAAACAGCTCAAGTCAAATATTGCTGCTCGTCTGCCAGGTGAATTTGGTGAAGCGAGATAAAGCGACATCTATCAGCCTTCGCTGTCAGTGGGATGCACGTGTTGGTTGGTCATGATCACAAACTAGAGGGACGGCGGCTACAAGTACTAGTGCTAACAATGTGTGTCGTACCCACATCATCTCTATATATGCTGTTATTGTTCTGTTGCAACATTTAGAGGTGATTACTGCACAACTATTATAATTCTTTCTACGTGCTTCCATGATGGGTTTTGTTATATATAATAAGTACTGAATTGGTGCCACTACTGGAAATGGAAATATCCCTGTTAGTTTGTCTTAAACCGACAGAAATTATGTTTCTCATAGTGGTGTACTTGTATTATTCATGCTGAAAATACATATATTATATTTGTATAAGATATATATGTAATGATACATCTCCTTGATTCCACTTCAACATCAAGTGTTGACTCCATCCAGTGTTCTATGCTTAAGATTCCATTTGAATCTAGCCAAAATTTGAGTCGCGAAATTTTTCGTCCAGCCTAATCACCGAGTGACACCCGCTCGGATGCCGCTTCTTTTTTGTTTCTATTTTTCATGTCCAAGTCTTTTTTCTAATAAATAACGTGCTCCTAACAATTTTAAAAAATAGGCCCACCGAACAGTGTTTGCATAACCATGCACCATTGAAAGCCCTATGTTTGATTTTGTTAATTGAGTGACAACTAGTGTACTAACCTTGTATCTTAACTGTTGTATAAGCCAGGTGAAGTCCACCAAGCTCTTGTTTTTTTAGGCTGTATGCTTGTATGCAAAGGCCGAAAGTGGGTTTAAAATTATTGTATCAGCTCGACAGAATGATTATGAATTAATAAAATATTTCCTTTATAAAAAAAGATCAACATAGTATATGAAACTAGGAAAACACATAAACACAAGCTAGAGGAAACTACTCTTGATTCGATGAATAATATTGATGATTACAATATTTCTTAGAAAAAAGAAATAATTCTAGCATCTACAAACATACACAACCCATCTCTTACAAGATTTTTAGCATAAATGTTGATTAACAAATAAAGGGAATGAGCACACTTTAGAATAAAAATTATAAGCAAAGTCTATTATTGCTTTTACATCCATTCTTGGCGAAGATATCTAGAGCGACCATCTCCAAAGATTTGCTCACGAACCAGATCATCTCCCTAGCGTCGTCATGCTGCAGCAACGCCCAAAACCACAGTCAATACGTTCCCCTGATGGTAGTTTGCAAAAAGGAAGTATAATGTCTTTTCTGAAAAACAATATCATTACATGTCGGGTCCATAAACTCGGGGTCCCCAATGGACCCGCTTCCCTACAAAAAACTCTACCCAGCAGACGGTGTTGCGACAACGCGCGCCTTCCGGGCCGGCCCAGATACATAATGACAGGCCAGGGCAACGATCCGGTCCCCGACCGAAAGGCCTGGCCAAGGTGAGGACACAGTCCAACTCCGACCTCCTTTTCCGACCGGGGATACACCGGACCTCTGCTCATGATTCTTCCCCGATTGACACGGTCGGGGACAACTGGAAAAAACCGATCGGGGACGCCCGCTCGGTGAGGGCCCAGGGATCAGGCAAAGAAAATAAGGTAAGGCGTTCAAGTCAACCGCAATACCGAGGACCATACCCTGCCATGCCCTGCGCACCTTCAGAACGGTGCCAACAAGCCATGTCAGACGGGCACTATGCAACCTTCCAGGAGTGTCAGAGTACAAACAACATTGTAGGCGCCGACGTTTGCCGTACCAGGCGAATATGGTAGAGCCTGCCACATGCGTCTAACATAAATAGTATTATGGACGCCGACGACCGTCTCGTACCCGACAGCGTGGGCAACAAGACTAGGTACCAAGTATCCATTCTCTCTTTCTCGGACTTGTAAGGCCATCCCCTTCAACTATAAAAGGGGATGCGCTCTCTCCTCTCTAGAGGTTGAACGTTCTCTCGGCTCTCGAAAGAAAAGAGGCCGGACGTTCTCTCTAGCTTGCTCTGGCTCTCTCCCGAAAAGAGAAGCAAGACGATTCGAGGACTCGATGACCTGAGGACTCGAACAGCTCAATAGCTCTAGAACTCAAAAGCTACACAGTGCATACGCTTCAATACTTCGCACACGTTTGAGCCCCGTCACTCTCGGCCCTTCGGTTCAGAGTCCGACCGGACCTTTAACACCCCCCTTCTTATTCCTACTCGTTTGTAACCCCACAGCAAACTTCGAGCACCTGGGCTCAGGAATAAAGTCACTGACCGACTGAAACTGGACGCAGGGCACGTTGCCTGAACCAGTATAAATCCTGTGTCATTGAGTGCTAGGCCACATCCGATCACACGCATGGTAAACTACAAATATTTACTTGTTGGTCACTTTTCGCACCGACATTACATGAACAGCAAATTGCCCAAATAAGAGCTACGGCCCCCACAAAATTGATTTTTTTCTCCTCCCTTGCTATGCCCCTTAGCCAATTCCCCATCATATAAAATATGGATCTAGGTGGGCATAATCCGGTAGCTATATGAACTATGTTCCAGATTGTCTTAGCATGCATGTTGAAAATGAAAAAACAAATGCTTAATTGTTTCATTACAATTAGACAAACATCCCTTTTAGCTACCCTCCCACTTTCTTTTGGCTTAATTATCCTTTGTTAAAATTAAACCTTATTGAAGGTAAGAGGGAGTTTCAGTTTCCAAATAATTTCTTGGTAAAATGGATCGATGACCTGGTTTATTAGGAACTGGTACATCGACCAAACTGAGAATTGACCATGATTATGTAAGTCCCAGTTAAAACCGTCCTTACCCTGTGAAAGTTGAATGTTGCTATTCTTACTACCAGGTTAGAACAAGCAATTAATTTGTCTCTGACCAGGGCTCATCGGAAAAGCGATATTAAAAAAAAACTCGACCTGCAAGGGGCAAGCCGCCCCCCGGGCATTATACGTAAGAAGAAGGCCTTCTCACACAGGCCGAGAAAACCTCCGAACTCCGGCCCCGGTCTGACACTGGGAGACGTAACCCGTGAGATGGGCCGTCTCCTTTAAACCAGTGCTTTGGCACCTGGAACCGGCGAGAGGATTTTTTTACCCCCGGCCTGAAATTCGCTCCCACTAGGAGTCGAACTCAGGACCTGGAGGGTGCCGCCGGAGTGACTAGCATATCTCAGTTAACCAACTGGACTAGCCATCCTTTGGCTCGAAAAGCGATATTAAGAGGCCTTTGACTCATGACATTCTCAATAGTAGCATGAGGATAATAGACTAGATTATATAGGCTAGGAAATTGTTCTTTTAGGGGTGTAGATCCTCTCCATATATCTTCCTAGAATATGGTTTGTGAGCCATCTCTCATCCTAAATGTCCCACATCCTAGAAAATCATCCTTGACCTTTAAAAGACCTTTCCAATATTGAGAATCCCCAGATTTAGTTTGAACTTGGGTCAAGCTTAGGTATTTATTCCTAAGTAAGGTCTACCAGTTTCCTTCTTCATTCAGCAATTGAAATAACCATTTGCTTAGAAGAAATTTGTTTTTAACTTCAAGGTCTATTATGCCTAAACCATCTTGGTCTTTAGGGCAACATAGAATGTCCCACTTAGCAAGATGATATTTCTGTTTATCATTGTTGCCTTGCCAAAAGAAGCTTGATTGATAAAAATCTAATCTTTTAAGGACACCTTTGGGAATTTCAAAGAAAGACATCATGAACATGGCCGGGTAAACTACTTAGAACCGAGTTCATCAGAACTAGCTTGCCCCCATAGGATAAGTGTTTGGCTTTCGAAGTACTTAGTTTCCTCATAAATCTATCCTCAATTACACCCCACTCCACATTGCGTAGTTTATGGTGGTGCATCGGGATTCCTAAGTACCTGATAACCTGAAGGGGTATGTTCCTATGTCACATCCAAACAGTTTAGTGTACTCTTGCTCATATTGTTTAGCTTCACCAAAGCAAAAGATCACACTTTTGTGGAAATTAATTTTCAGACCTGATCGTGTTAAAAAACACTGAGCAAAAGCTTCATATTTTTAGCTTGCTCAAAACCATGGTCCATAAAAAGGATTGCATCGTCTGCATATTGCAAAATAGACAACAAGGTGGGGTATCACACCTCTAATTTGGCCATCATCTTTTGCCCGCTTGATTAAAATAGAGAACATGTCAGCTACAATGTTGAATAGAATAGGTGACATAGGATATCCATGTCTGAATCCCTTCTTTGTTTGAAAGTAGTGCCCAATGTCATCATTAATATGCCCACACTACCTCCTTTCACAAAATGTTTGATCCAGTTACACCATTGTTGGAAAAACCTTTCATACGAAGAATTTGTTATAGAAAAGATCATTTAACTTTGTCATAGGCCTTTTGATTTTAAGGATCACCCCATGTACACTACTGGAAACTCGAATTGTTCTGTGGGTGACGAATTTTTCTGTGCGTTTTTTTCTATACGCACAGAAAAATTACGATTTTTCTGTCGATTTCAAAATATCTCCACAGAAAAATACGAAAACCCACAGAATAATTATATGATTTTTCTGTACGTGAAAATACACACACGGAAAAAATCAGCACTCACAGAAAAATACAACTTATTCTGTCGGTTCTTTAAAAACGCACAGAAAAATACATACACGCACAAAAAAAATATTATTATTCTATCGGTTATTTTAAAACGCACAGAAAAAACATACACACGCACAGAAAAATTCAAACGACCGCTAGGACCTCCCTTCTTCCTACCCAGCGCCCCCTCCCCCTCCCTTCTTCTTCCTCTGCACCCGTCTTCCTCCGCACCCGAACCCCAGCGCCCCCTCCCCCTCCCTTCTTCTTCCTCCGCACCCGGACACCAGCGCCCCTCCCTTCTTCTTCCCCAGCACCCGACCCCCAACGCCCCTCCCCTCCCTACCGCCGCCCCTCCTCTTCTTCTCCCCATCTTCCCTGGCGCCGCCCCTCCCCGGCCTTCTTCTTCCCCAGCGCCGCCCCTCCCTCTCCCGGAACCGGCGGGCTCGCTCCCTCCCCTCCCTTCCCTCCCTCTCGCCCCAGCTAGCTCCCTCCCCTCCCTTCGCCCCAGCTCGCTCTCTCCCCAGATCCCGCCGGTGGCCGGCCCTTCCCCTCCCTCTCTTCCCCGGTGCCAGCCCCTCCCTCTCCTTCCCCGGCGCCGCCGTCTCTTCCCCGGCGGCGGCCCCTCCCTCTCCTTCCCCGCCGCCCCCTCTCTCCCCCCGGATCCGGCCGCCGCGCCCTCCCCTCTGGATCTGGTCCCGCCGCCTCCCTCCGTCCCTCCTCCGGATCCGGCGCCGCGGCATGGGTGGTGGTGGAGGTAGTGCAGGCTACTTGGGTGGCTCGAGGGGCGGTGACATACAGGAGAGTGTATGATTCGGCAACCACGGCCGGATCCGTCAAGGTGGACGACGACTATGGCAGCCTCCAATGGATCCAGGTGGTTTCTGGTAGTCCTCTTCACCTGTACATCCCTATCAGTCGCAATGCTCTACTCTCATCTCCCCCCCTCCCTTCTCTGCTGATCCATCCCAACAGCAGCAGCTCGGCTCACTTGTGCTCCTCACTGTTAGGTTGCAGCACTTTGGTTGGATGAATTGTGTTCTCTTTGATGGTACAGAAGCAATGTACTGTTTTTTTTATCATTAAATTTTAGTTTGGTGTGCAGGTAAAGTGTAACTCGAACTGCAGGGGGGATTTTTAAATTCCATTGCCTAATCATTGTTTAATAATTGCAGCTCTTATTAGTTCAATCTTTTTGCCTAATTAAGGTCCCGGCATGCCAATGTCTATATTGTAAATGTGTTGGCTGACAACAATTTATTTTATTGTTGATTAAACTGTGGTTGTACGAGCCCAATAATAATGCAAACACCACTCTGTGCCTTATTAGTATTCTGTGAAGTGCATTCAGTAGCAGACCAATACGATGGCTACAGTGCTGTTAACATGCCACAGTGGTGTTTCCATTATTTAATCTTTGTATGAATGGTAATGAGTGAGTGTAGCATACTCATACATATGTGATACAGGTTTATTTAGCCATGATACTGCTTTCCTGTTTATTAGCTGTCCATAGTTCCATGGTTTAGTTAGTAATCTCAACTTACTTTTCCATGTTTAATTAGAGCTTCTGTTAGCTGTATAATTAGCGAGTAATTTAATCCGTGCTTTGTGGCTTTGCTTCCATGCTGCTTGAGAATTTCCTAATTGTTCCTAGTGTTTTAGTACTATGATATCCGGTTGTTTTTTCTTCCTTAGTTCTGACCTGTTCATGTCTTGTCTGATCTTGTCATAGGCCGGCTTACACAGTGTCATTTTATTGCTGCATTACTAAGAGAAGATGGAATTCTCACTACAGCCATTTGCAAACTTGAATGAGCCCCTGATTACACTTGACAAAGGTGAATTTAGTTTTTGTTCAATCAAGTTTAGAAAAAAAAACATGTTCAAATTGTTATCAGGTACTTGGACTTTCAGTATAACATATCCTTGATGGTAAATTAACTGAACAAAATTTGCAAATGTTTGCTCACCACAAGTTAATCTGTCATCATCTTTGTGGATTCATATGCTTTGCTCTTTTTATAGACAAAATCAAACTTCATCTGCGGTGGTTGGGGTTCACAGTTTGTGGATGCATATGTAGCATGTCTTTCTTTTTCCAATTGTTGCTTTGCCTATCAGAACTATTATGTCAGCATATGCCTCTATGGTAATGCTTGCCTTGCTCCATTGCGTTAGTAGTAGTTGTCTTATAGATGTAGCTGCAGGATCTTGTTATTCTTATGATAAAAAATCTGACTTTGCACCTTTGGTTGGTCAGATTGGTGACGCCCGTGGCCGCGGTGAGCTAGGACTCTGGATCTGGTGGCATGTCTTTCGCTAGCGTGGGTGCAAGAGTGAACATGGAGGCCTTCTGCATCCATGCCGACCAGGTCTTTCTCCCTCCCATGCATATCTTTTAACTGTTCAGCAGCAAGCATAAGCATGCACCTCCAGTTGAATCATAGTTTCTGATGGAGCGTGTATTTGGATGTACTACTGTGTATTTAGTTTTGAGTGGTACTGACTACTATTTTTCATGTGAGAGGAGTGAAACAAGAAGTGCTGCCACGATGTTGATAATTATTTATCTGCACTTTGCTATTTTTCCAGCGCATGGATGTTGGGTTCAGGCCGCTGGGGTCTGGGAGGGATGCGTCCTTGAGGTCACACCCCTGCATGTTGGAGCAGCGCTTGCCTGCCTCCACCATTCACGTACCTTACTTTTTTTTTGTTTTGTACTGCTCTTGAGTGGCTACGATGAATCAAGTTTTCATTAGAGAACTTTTGCACTTTAGCACCTTATGAGCTGGTACTTAGGATATTTTGTTCTGTTTGCTGCTTAACTAGGATGGCTTGTACTAGTACAAGCAACCAGTTCTGTGGCCAGTTCAATTTCCATTAGAGAGAGAATTAAATTAAGCTCCAGGTGAAATTAAGTTGCAGTTGTCATGCTGATAATGGGTAAATCTGAGCCATTTCTCGAGTTCTTTTGCTCTTGTTCTTTTGCTCCAGGTGAAATATATGTAGTTCTTGTGCTTTTGCACTGTTAACCCAGGAATCCTGTAGTGCATAAGTGTTATCCCATGGACTTTCATTTGATTTCCCTGTATTCCATGTGTTTGATTCTTTTGGGACTTCCAGATGCTCATCAAACTCCATCTTATCTTTCTCACCCCAACTGGATCCTGCATTAGACTTGGCATTTGGTCTTCCAATTCCATCTCCAGCATTCCAAGCATTGCCTGATGGTGGCATCACATTGTTATAGGAGGAATCATGATCAGCATTTGTCTTCTTCCGTTTGTAAGTGCTTGGCTCCTCCTCCCATTGGCAGTTACCATCTGCCTTCTTTTTGCCCCTGGCATTTCCAGTTGCTGGGATGCTCCCAATTGCCATGGCCATCATCAGACTTCTCCCGGGCACCATCACCTCCATTTCCTTTTCTTTTGTCCCATGTATTTTCTGATTTGCCCCATGGGTCATTTTTATTTGATGCCTCAGGAGTGCTGGACTTCTTCTCCCCATGGGACATTTTAAAGCATGGTTTGGTCAGCCAGGAATCATGATCCAAGTTGATTTGGCTAACTGAATTGCAAAAATATGTTCAATTGTCGTTGTGAAAATGTAGAATTCACTAGTTTATCTGTTTGTGGTACTTTTGGAAAAGTATTGTGGCACTATAAGTGAGGTAGCAGTAGCAACCTTCAATGTCTGCATGGGTGGCGGCCCGAGGTTTAGGCGGGTTTTTGAGAGCTGTAGGCTCCGGCTGTGATCAGGGGAGCCATGTCGTCTCTTAGCAGGGAGCTGGTTTTCCTCATCCTGCAGTTCCTCGATGAGGAGAAGTTCAAGGAGATGGTGCACAAGTGAGTACTCGCCATGATCATGAATGGGGTTTTTGGAGCCTTGCTTTGCTGGGTGAGCTAGGATTTCTGATGCTTTTTGCGGTTGCCCATGCAGGCTGGAGCAGGAGTCGGGCTTCTACTTCAACATGAAGCACTTCGAGGACCTCGTGCAGGGCGGCGAGTGGGACGAGGTGGAGAGGTACCTTAGCGGCTTCACGAAGCTGGAGGACAACCGCTACTCCATGAAGATCTTCTTTGACATCCGCAAGCAGAAGTACCTCGAGGCCCTTGATAGGCTCTAATCTGTTAGCTTTAGTTTTAGCTATAATATGACTCAATGATGCATGCTGGTACTTTACTCATCTTGACTGAGACTTGAACTGTTGAGATGAGATGGTAATGCTTTTGAATGTATTGATGCCGGATCATTTGGACATCATCTATATGTAGCCCGGATGCCATTAATGAATGTGCTGAACATTTAGATCCTTATATGTATGCTATCTATTATGTTGTGATGAAATTATAGTATGGACAGTCCATATTTAATATGTTATTGCTACTACGAGGAAAAATCATTTAATCTGGGCTAACGCAATTTTTCTGTGCGTGTAACATCCACAGAAAAATCATTTTTCTGTTAGGCTTTTCTTTTTTCCTGTGAGGATCAACGCACACAACATTTAAATTTAATGTAGGCTAACGCAATTTTTTGTGCGTGTAACACCCACAGAAAATTGTTTCTGACGGCGAACACACAGAACAATTGAATTTTTCTGCCATTATATTTCCGTGCGTATTTTTCTGAGGGTACACCGTCAGAAAAATATTTTTACGACGGTATTCGCATTTTTCTGTGTGTTTTCGCACACACAGAAAAATGTGAGATTCCAGTAGTGGTAGCTTATTCTTTAGTGTGTAATTCATGAATGCTTTTGTGCAAAATAGCTACCCCTTCCATGATATTACTACCTGGCAAGAAAGTTGTTTGAGACGGTCATACAATTGCTAGCCACTACCAACACTACCGGAAACAACAGGTATGCTGAGTCACTACCGGAAACCGGCGATTTGCCGAGTGCCGAGGCTTTGCCGAGTGTATTTTATCGGGCACTCGGCAAAGACCGTGTTTGCCGAGTGCCAAATAAAATACACTCGGCAAACAAAAACACACGGCAAAATACGTCTTTGCCGAGTGTTTTTTTCTGGCACTCGGCAAAGATGTATTTTGCCGAGTGCCTTTGTTTTGGCACTCGGCAAAGAAGCTTTTTGCCGTGTGCATTTTTTTTGCCCTCGGCAAATCATTTTTTCGAAGCAATTTTTGAGGCCCTAAATGAATTCAAATGAAAAACTTTTCAACTACAAAGTTGTATAACTTCTCAAGATCTACAAAGTTTATTTGGGTCATTTCTTCATTTGACAAAGCGACAATAACGTTGTTCATAAAATCTACATCTCTCATATTAGTTTCATGAAAGTAGAAGATATATATAAGATTTGTGAACAATGTTACTACCACTATGTCGGATGAACAAATGACCAAAATAAACTTTGTAGATCTTGAGAAGTTATGAAATTTTGTAGTTGGCAACATTTTGATTTGAAATCATTTTTCATGCAAAAACGACGTTTGAATTTGAAAATTTAAATTTTTCAAACGACCTCGGATGAAAAAACTTCCTAAATGAAAATTGTAGATCTCCAAAAGTTATGAAACTATGTAGTTGACAACTTTTTGATTTGAAATCATCTTATCATGCAAAACTACGTTTGAATCTCTCAAATTTAAAATTCAAAATTTTCAAACGACCTCGGATGGAAAAACTTACTAAATGAAAATTGTAGATCTCAAAAAGTTATGAAACTTTGTAGTTGACCACTTTTTGATTTGAATTCATTTAGGGTCTCAAACAAGTAATTTACTCTCAGTTTGCCGAGTGCTTTTTTTCTAGCACTCGTAAAGCCATATTTTGCCGAAAGTGCCTATGTTTTGGCACTTTCGCAAAAAATATTTTGCCGTGTGTATTTTTTTGGCCCTCGGCAAATCAGTTTTCGAATCAATTTTTGAGGCCCTAAATGAATTCAAATGAAAACTTTTCAACTATTAAAGTTAGTATAACTTCTCAAGATCTATAAAGTTTATTTTGGTCATTTCTTTATTTGACAAAACGACAATAACGTTGTTCATAAAATATACATCTCTCATATTAATTTCATGAAAATAGAAGAGAGATATATATGATTTGTGAATAATGTTACTACCACTATGTCGGATGAACAAATGACCAAAATAAACTTTGTAGATCTTGAGAAGTTATGAAATTTTGTAGTTGGCAACATTTTGATTTGAAATCATTTTTCATGCAAAAACGACGTTTGAATTTGAAAATTTAAATTTTTCAAACGACCTCGGATGAAAAAACTTCCTAAATGAAAATTGTAGATCTCCAAAAGTTATGAAACTATGTAGTTGACAACTTTTTGATTTGAAATCATCTTATCATGCAAAACTACGTTTGAATCTCTCAAATTTAAAATTCAAAATTTTCAAACGACCTCGGATGAAAAAACTTACTAAATGAAAATTGTAGATCTCAAAAAGTTATGAAACTTTGTAGTTGACCACTTTTTGATTTGAATTCATTTAGGGCCTCAAATAAGCAATTTACACTCGGTTTAGTATAATATATTGGGAACTAAAACGGAATCTAGACACAAGTGACAGTGTGGTGTAGTGGTAGAGGAGATTTGTGCTTGCAATGAGAGGTCTTAGGTTCGAATCCCGTCGGGTCACAGAGCCGTGAAATTTACGAAAAAAGCCGGAGATGGATGGTATTTGACCGGTGGGGGCCTCCACCAATTAAAAAAATCCATTTTTTTGGGTAAAATTCCCATTTTTCGGGTTTTTTTTCGGTTCCAACTTTGTTGAGAGTGTCGGCACTCGCAAAGGCTTTGCCGAGTGCCCGATAAAAGACATTCGGCAAAGACGTCTTTGCCGACTCTTTTTTTGCCGTGTGCTCTTTGCCGAGTGCAGCACTCGGCAAAGCCTTTGCCGAGTGCAAATTGGGCTTTGCCGAGTGCCCCTGGCACTCGGCAAATTCACTGAGTCCGGTAGTGAGTGTCTGAGAGTTTGCCGAGTTCATTCCATCGGGCACTCAGCAAACCTGCTGTGCGCCGAGTGCCACCATGGAAACATTCGGCAAAAATAAGGCACTCGGCAAAAACCCTCTTTGTCGAGTGCCCTAAAGTAAACACTGGACAAATAATAAAGAAACACTTGGCAAACATCAGGCACTCGGCAAAATACCAGCACGTGCGCCGGCCGTGCAATTGCCGCCAGCTGGAGCACCCTGTCGTTAGCAATTTGCCGAGTGTCCGTTAGTGACACTCGGCAAAGACATTATTTGCCGAGTGTTTTAGGTTGGCTCTCGGCAAAGTGAGTGAAAAATGATATTCACGTTCTTGAATCCAGTGTGAAGCCTTATTTGGGAAATGAAAGGAAATTTCAAACATCTTATTCACGAAACACAACCACGAACGTGTGGTCGAATTGTTTTCAAATTCTATAAAAAGCAAATGAAGTCTGAAAATCATGAGATTTGTCAAGATCTCATGATATCATACGTGGAGGCTATGATAAAAAATTAAAAAGGTTTTGCACAATTTGTCATGTACGATATTTACAAACCGAAGTATCTGAGAGGAAGAATCGTAGCGCTGAGAAGGATTCGGTAAGATTTGGAGGCAAAGTGACGGTCGAATTGGGTTTTACTTCAAAACTTTTTGTATAGGCAATAGAGAACATAGATCGATTCATGTGTAATTTTGATAATTTTTTAGATCTGTTTGATCATTTTAATTAATTAAGTGCAATTATAGAATTTTAATTGATATACATTGAATTTGAGCTACAACTGCATGAAATAATAAGTTTTTTTTCACTTCTGGCCTTGAAACTTTTTCTACTCTCTACATACAATATGTGGTACTCCATGTTAAGGTTTGGTATATTTCTGGATCCGTTTGCTATATTTAATTAATTTATTGCATTTCAAAGAATTTTTTTGGTATAACTCAAATTTGAACCGCAAGTGATTCAAATAATATAATAAAATGAGTATAAAAATGATATTCATGTTATCGAGTCCCGTGTGAGGCCTTGTCCAGAAAATGAAGGAAATTTGTAAGATCTTATTCACGAAACCCGACCACGAACGTGTGGCCGAATGATTTTTAAATTCTAAAAAAAGCAAACGAAGTCTAAAAATCATGAGATTTGTCAAGATCTCATAATATCATACGTAGAGGTGGTGGTAAAAAATTGAGAAGGTTTCGCACAATGTGTCAGGTACGATGTTTACAAACCGAAGTATCTCAGGTAAAGAATCGTAGTGTTGAGAAGGATTCGGTAAGATTTAGAGTCAAAGTGACGGTCGAATTGGGGTTTGACTTCAAAACTTTTTGTATAGGCAATAGAGAACATAAATTAATTCATGTGTAATTTTAGTAATTTTTTGGATCCGTTTGATCATTTTAATTTATTAAGTGCAATTATAGAATTTTAATTGATATACATTGAATTTGAGCGACAAA